AATAATCTGCATAACAAACTGCTTTCTATATAGTAGTATGTCATTGATGTCAGCTAAGACTGTATACCTTGTACATGTACTCGTAGAAATACCTGGAGTATACCTGGAGAGGATTTCGGGCGTTAACGCCCTCGCGACTCGGTCTGTGACCAGGCCTCATGGTGGATCAGGGCCTGATCAACCAGGCTGTTACTGTTGGCCGCACGCAACCCGACTTACAAACCACAGCCCGACTGGTCAGGTACTGACTTTAGGTGCCTGTCCAGGGGTCTATTGGTAATCCTCCTTATGTGTGCTGGGAGACAGTTGAGCAGTCTTGTGCCCCAGACACTTATGTGTTGTCTCTTATCATGCTAGTGGCATCCCTGTTTTTCACTGGGGGAATGTTGTATCGTCTGCCGAGTCTTTTGCTTTCATAAGGGGTGATTTTCGTGTGCAAGATATTATTATTATTATTATTATTATTATTATTATTATTATTATTTTATTATTATTATTATTATAAACAACGTATCTACCACATCTGCTAGGAAAATGATAGGATGGATAATGAGAACCTTAAAACTAGAGATGCTAAACCCATGATGATTCTCTTCAATATGCCTTGTTCTCTCTAGGCCTTAATATTGCTATTACTCTACACTAACGGCCCCTTTCAAGGCAGGCGAAACTGCAGATCATGAGAATATACAGAAAACTTTTACGGCACATATAAGTACGATAAAACCCCTAAATTACTGGGAATGGTTGAAAACCGTTGCTCTGTACTCCATGGAATACAGGCGAGAAAGATACATGATAATATATACTTGGAAAATCCTTGAGAGACTAGCTCAAAATCTGCACACGAATATCACTTCCAACAAAAGGAAAAGACTCAGAAGGAGATGCGACAACCCCACAGTGACAAGCAGAGCACCACGAGTACGCTAAGAGACAACATAATAATTGTCAGGGGTCCAAGACTGTTCAGCTGTCTCCCAGCATATATAAGGGGGATTATCAATAGACTCTTGGTTGTCTTCGAGGAGGAGCTGGACAGGCACCTAGTCACTACTTGACCAGCCGGGCAGTGGTACATACGTCGATTTACATGCGGCCAGCAGTAACAGCCAGGTTGATCAAGCCCTGATCCACCTCGAGTCCTGGTCATGGACCTGGCCGCGGGGGCGTTGATCCCCGAAACCCCCTCCAGGTAGTTGTAAAATGCCTAGGATAACCCAGAAAAGTTAGATAGGGTGACTTATTTCCATGGGCTTTCTCAGAATAAATTCTACATAATTTACTACATAAAACCCTAGTAAAAGATTTAAATAATACATGATGCTGGAATAAAAATTAATTTAGCAGCTGTGCTTGTTGTAAACGGTGTGGTAATACCAACAAGATGCGGAAAACGTGTAGTACGTATACTTATGACATCAAATTTAATGTCATAGTAGGTTTGTGTCTGCACAGTCGTGCTTGCGGATGTGATGCAGTGATTTATCTCTCGCTCTCTCCCTTATCTTCTCCTTTTCTCCCTCTTTTACACAGTGAGTGAGCACAGGGTTTTACAAGATTAGGTCTCTCTCTCTCTCTCTCTCTCTCTCTCTCTCTCTCTCTCTCTCTCTCTCTCTCCTCTCTCTCTCTCTCTCTCTCTCTCTCTCTCTCTCTCTTTTACACAGTGGTCAGTGGTCAGTGGTCAGTCGTCAGTCGTCAGTCGTCAGTGGTCAGTGGTCAGTCGTCACGTGAGGTCACAGACCCTGAGCTGCTTTGGGGATTAGCGTGGCGGTTACAAAGCATGGCTTGCTTCTGCAGTGTTTTAAAATTGAGGTTGGAGAGTTCAAGGAGGAGGTCTTGCTTCTCCAGGAGGAGATTAGGAGGCTGAAGGTCCACCTCAATGGGTCTGGGAGAGAGTGTGAGGTGGCTGGAGTTGTGGGGAATGAGGCTTCTAGCAGTGAGGTGCGTCTGTCTCTCGCTGTGAGGGGCTGTAGTTGGGGAGGTAGCAAAAGGCTACCCGCGTGAGGTGCAGCCCAGCACCTGCTCAAGTGGCGAGTGGTTCACAGTAATGGGGGGCGCATCAGAGTAAGGAAAGTTAAGAGTGAAGATCTGAAAGGTAGGAAATCGCTTCTCTGTTCTTCAGGATGAATGTACTTCAGTGGCCAGTGAAGGTAAGGGTACTACTGCCCTGCTAATGGAGGTAAGCGCATTTTGTGGTTGGTGACTCTCAGGTAAGATATATTGACCATGCTTTTTGTAATAGGAATAAGAAGATGGAGATAGAGTGTGCTTCCTGGAGCTGGTGTTGGGGACATAGTCAACAGGGTGGATAATATCATGTCAGGTAATGGGAACAAGCCCATTATCTGTCTCAGTGTGGTGGAATGATTTGGGAAGGGTAGGAGAGAAGAGCTGCTAGATAAGTACAGGTCAGCTATAGATTTCATTAAGTCTAAGGGAGGGATCCAATCATATGTAGCATCTTGCCCAGAAGGGGAGTAGGAAATGAAAGGTTGTC